ACCCAGTTTTTTTTTAGCTATTAAAAACTGTTAGATGATAGTTCCATCCATGTTACAGAGCTGTTGACAGCAACTAATAAAAAGTCCTCATCAAGGAAAACTCATATAACTAGAAGTCCAGTGTTCAGGCAAGTTCTATATATGATAACACAGGCTCAATGATGCCTTCCAAAACTGAAGTTATTTTTATCTCAGAGCTCTCCCTTTTTGGACTGATGAAGACAATCATATACTTTATTGTTCAAGTCTTGCATAAGAGAGAAACCATTCCCAAGGCATGAATTCTTTTTTTTTTAGTCTGAGACAAATAAGGTTTATGTGTATTTTTATGAACCCATAGTAGTTGCCCGCCCCTTGGATCCATAGGTAGATCAAATGTCAGAACAAACTAGAATTCTGTTACAAGGAAGAAGAGGTAAATGGATATTAAGTAGGCAACCAATTTTCCACTAAACCCTTTTGTTCCCTTAACAGTCATCTTGAAGGGTCAAATTGAGTTTAGAGTACCAATTCCTCTCATAGTTTACTAAAAAATTTGAGAGAAAATTATTGATAGATGATAATTACTCTGATGTTCAGACTTCATAGAATAAGACAATCATGTTCTCTGAAGAGTAGTCTTTGTGGAAATCCTTAGGGAAATCTGAATCTGGAGATATTCGACTGCAAGTACCAGAATACCAGCTATACTTTTATGTCTGGAAGTTGAAAGTCCCAGGTCTGAGACAGTGATTCAGTGATACTTTCAAAAACTTAGGCTAGTCTACTTTTCTGTTCTTTATCTTTCTCATCTTTAGGCATATTAATCTCATGGCTATGATAACTTCAAGCATTACATCATCACATTACTGTATTCAAGCTGGGATGGAAGCAGATCTCCTTACTGTGTCTAGCAGGGAGTATGAGTTTTCCCAGATGCTTTCAAATGCACTTCCTCATGTGTCATTGGTCACATGCCCACCCTTCAACCTATTGACATCCAGGAGAATGGGATCTAATGCTGGCTTTGACCAGTCTATTTCAAACCCTGGCAACTGGAGGAGAAGCCCATCTTCCTTAACATATTGCCAGAGCAAAATCAGAGTTCCATAAGTTAAGGAAACTAAGGTTGCTGTAGGATGGGCAATGAGTAGTGTCTGCCTAAGACCAACTTGGCCGTATGTGTCCAAAGCCTCTGTTCTATTTTTTTAAGTTTAAATTTTATCTTGTTTTTCTTGTTTTTAAAGATTTTATTTATTCATTCATTTATAGAGGGGAAGGAGAGAGGGAGAGAAACATCAATGTATGGTTGCCTTTCATGCGTCCCCTGCTGGAAACTGGCCTGCAGGGAAGCAGTCTGCAACCCAGACAAGTGCCCTGACTGGGAATCGAACCGCGATCCTTTGATTCGCAGGCCCGCGCTCTATCCACTGAACTACACCAGCCAGGGCTTCTCTGTTCTATTTTAACATCTATATTAGGAAAGCATTAATCTCAAGCCTAGTGTTTCTCAAATTCTGTGTAGTAAAGAATTAGTTTTCATGTTTTCCAATTCACAAACCAATGCTAGGAAAGTGAAATAAAAAAAAATACTTTAAACAAAATACACTACACAAATCCAAAGTTTTTATTAAACTCAAAGGCCACAAGTTTCTCTGTCAAATTGCTATAAAAACATCTACATACTCTTAATTTCTGTTCTCTTCTGGTCATGGACCAGTAAAAGTTCACAGACCACTGTGGTTCATGACCACACTTGGCAACACACTGTTTAGCGCACTGACTTCACAATCTGGCCTGGGTCTGCCTCTCCTGCTTATGTCCTGCTGCTCCCTTTGATTCACCTACAACAAGCTCTTCTCTGTTGCTAGAATATACCATGTGGCTTTTTTTTTTTGTCATTGTTTTACTTCTGGACTTGACTTCACATTCTATTCTCCCTTCCTGGAATGCCTTCTCCTAGCTGGGAACACCCACTCATCTTTGTAGACCAGCTAAGATGTCATCTTCTTTGTGATATTTTTTCTGAATTCTTTGCTCCCCCATCAGTGCTTCTTTTGAATCCCGAGTTTACCTATTTTATTAGGTTGTTGTTATTTCTAGGTTAGCCTCTTTGACTAGATTAAAAGTTCCCTGAAGGTAATAAATTTCTTGCTCATTTTAATATCCCCTGATCCTAGAGCACATATTTTGCCGTATGTAAATGCTGGTGGAATGGAATCCACTCAACAAATAAGACTTAGGTTTCTTTCTTTTTATTCTCCCCTGAATATTTTCTGTTGTGCTTCTGCCTGTATGTTTGTGGATTTCCATGTAAGAACACACCATTTTGACACACAAATTTTCCTTCCCTCTTCTTTCAAGTCTGGGTTTAGAAACAAAGTACAATTTCTATTGTGTATTCCCATCACAGGTTCTGTCCTACATGCATCAAAGTCACTATCACTGCAGGCGGCATGTGGGGTTAGTGAACCCACAAGGCCACTCCAGCAGCAGCTCAAATCCTCTGTGGCAATAAATGAGCCTGTATATGGATACATCCAAACTCCCAGAAGTGCCTACCAAAGTAGTACAGCACAGAATGTGCAGTTTAGAGTAATAGTGTTCCAGGCTTTAGTCCTTATTCCTATACTAGTTCTGTGGCCTTGAGCAAATTCCTAACTTCTCTGAGCCAGTTGCTCTCATTTAAAAAAAAAGGTATCCTGGAATAACATGAAGAAACAATAATTTCTTGATAAATGTTAGTGCCCTCTACTCAGATGAGTGCATCTACTCTGATGAGTCCACAGACTGACAAGGAAAGCAGGCTGGGAACAGTAGTCGATGGCTTTTCCTGTCTCTTCCAAGTGTCAAGGCCAGCCTGTGCTTTCAGGCTTGCTGAGAAAGCTGACCTGCTTTGGAAATTCTATCTTGGGCAGAGCCTTGGTTGCTTCTCTGTACCAGTGCTTCTTATTTCCTCTCTCACAGCTGGCAGGGATCACTACATTGGCAGCTCCAGGGGTACATGACTAAGGTGGAGAGATGTGCAGCTGCTGCTTGTTAAAAGGTGGGTGGTTTGGTTGGGAGGCAGCCATAAAAGCAGCATGTGGAAATCCCCAGACTGAATCCCCGGAACTCCACCGCTCAAATGACGTCATGGGGCCAAACTATTGCTGGGAGGGAGGCTCCAGAGGAGGCCTTTCATCCTCAGGCACTCGGGCTCTTTTCCGTTACCACTGATTTACCCTCCCCGCCTTAACCTTAGGAAAGAGGGACTATGATGGACATTTGGTGAGTTTAATTAAATGTGAAAAAACTGACTTCCTTCAACATGCCCTGCATTTTCACTCCTCTGTATTTCACTTCTGCTGTACTCTCCACTGGAAATGCTCTTCTCCCTCTACCTACCTGAGAAATTCAACCCCTACACTTGGAATCAAATGTTAGATCTTAGGTTTTTCTTCCTCCACACCACCCTCTCTTCTAGGCTTTCACCTGCCTTTAAACTTAACCCAGTTGTCATGCATCACACATTTAATTGCCCTTGTTTTCTTTTTAATTTTATTTTTCAATTATAGTTGACAGTAGCATTCTGTATTAGTTTCAGGTGTACAGCATAGTGGTTAGACAATCATTTGCTTTACAAAGTGCTCCCCCCCAATAGTTCCAGTACCCACCTGGCACCACACAAAGTTATTACAATATTAAGTAATATTTCATTCTTTTCTAAGTCAAGTAATATTCCATTGTACACATGTACCACAAGTTTTTCATTCACTCGTCCATTGATGGAATTGCCCTTGCTTTTGAGCTGTCCTTCCCTGACAGAGTGAAAGAAAGCTCTTGGGAGTCTTTGATTCTCTTAGTGTTTGGTTCACTCAACAAATAATTATATGCTCTACTCAGTATATTTGACAGTTTCTAATCTCTCACTAATTGTGCTTAGGTTATTAGTAGTATAATAAAAGTCCCTATTGATCGAGCACTTAAGTAGTTCTAGAAGGTACTGGGTGTTCCCCTTCTTGTACCTCAGGAGCAGTAGCAGTAATGGTAGTAGGACTAACCACAAGCAAGGAGAAAAATCAAGGAGTTGTTTGGAAGCCAGAGGGCCATTTCTTAGCTTAATGTTTGCATATTCCGGATTTATCCCTTGGTGAGTCAAAATAGAATCCAGATTTATCCATAAGTTCCTTGGATGTCATCAAAATTCTTGTAGGGGAGTGTGGGGTTGGGAGTCGTGAATCTAGTCCTGTATTTCCACTTCCTATGCAAACTACTGGGAACACAGGAGTAAGTCAGGTAGACTTGGGTTCAAATCCCAATTCTGCCACTTACATACCTGTGGGAACTTGTTACCTCTCTGAGACTCAGTTGTTTTTTCAGAGCTAGAAGGAGGATAATATTTATTTGGGTTTTTGTGATGACAAAAAAATATTATTTGTATAAAGTATATAATCAAGATCTGGTACTTCATAGGTATTTAACAAGTGGTAGTTACTATACTTGGCAAATTTTGAGGTGGCTAGGGTGAGGGCCTGAGCGATGTATTAGCATTGCATTAACTGTTACTAGGAAAAGGTCAGCTGAGAACTCAGGATGTCAAATAAATACCTAGTGTAATTTACAATGTGACTTAATAAAAGTCTTCGAGGGGCTTTCCAGTTCTCTCTGTCAGGATTTTTTCTGGGTTTAGTCCCATACTTTCCTATTTTGATGTGTTCTCCTACCTTTGGAGAGCCCCTGGCCCTCAGGGAGGCTGGGCCCCTGGCCTGCCTGAGTTGTCGTGGTAAATTCTGTGCTCACTTTTCCTTTGTTCCATGCCCCCCCCTGCCCCCCCGCCTCTTGTGCCCCGAGGTCTTATCTTGTCCTCTGGGGAGGTATGTTAAGCGCTCTGCCAGCCTGCCTGTGTGCCCGGCCTGTTTTTCCTCACTGCCAGTACCTCTTGGATTCCAATTCCAAACATGGTATCCGTCTAGGGTCACCCTTTCTTCCGGTGCCAGGAGAGACGCATTCCAAATGGAACACAAGTGTGACTTCTGGGCTCTCCTCATTCTGTCTGGGGAAAACAGAGAGCAGGACGTGGCCCTTCATTATCCCTCACAGCTGAAGTTTTCAGGCCCATAGTCCTGTTCTTTCCTAGGACGACTTAGGATTTCTGCTAAGAGCCAAATGTGAAGACTGGCTTACGAAATCCGGATCCAAGGAAGCTTGTCAGGGCTCTGCTGGGAGGGCCAGTGCCTTGCTAAACGAGAGAGGATAAAAAGTTTTAAAATTCTACATGAAGCGTACTATGTTCTGCCATTCATTCCCAAAGCTACCGGAAACATTCCTCCTAGAAAACGTGGAGTTGCTGGTGAGAAGCCAGAGGTGAGAAGACATCTAGGAGGACAGACTACTCTATCTTCTGAATTTCTTATGTGGGGCTAGTCTTAGAGCCCAGCAAGGCTTTGAGACACCCCGAAGATGAATGCCAACAGCAGCACAGTGGGCCAGCATCCCTGGCAGGGGCCAGTGTGCATTGGCTGGAAACAGGATCTGGAAGGGGCTGTCTACCACCTGGCTAACTGCTTCTTGTTTCTGGGCTTCATGGGTGGGAGTGGGGTATATGGATGCTTCTATTTCTTTGGCTTCCTGAGCACCGGCTACATATGCTGTGTGCTGTGGGGCTGGTTCGATGCCTGTGGCCTGGACATCGTCATCTGGAACTTCCTGCTGGCAGTGGCCTGCCTGCTCCAGCTGGCATACCTGGTCTACCGCCTACGCAAAGACACCCTCCCTGAGGAGTTTGATCTCCTCTACAAGACGCTCTGCCTGCCCCTGCAGGTGCCCCTGCAGACATACAAGGAGATCGTTCACTGCTGTGAGGAGCAGGTCTTGACTCTGGCCACCGAGCAGACCTATGCTGTGGAGGGCGAAACGCCCATCAACCGCCTGTCCCTGCTACTCTCTGGCCGGTAAGCTACTCCATCACTGCCCACGCTTCTCATTTCCCAGTAAGTCCCTTTCCATTTCATGTTCCCTTCCCTTGAGGGAAGGATGTGGCCAATCAAACAAACCAAAATAGATTTTTCTAAGCATAGTCTTGCTTCCTCTTTCTTAGCATTTTCCCAGGGGAAACTAGATCGTGAGGCATCTTCTTGGCTGGTAGGAAGGGCTGTGTGTGCACTTGCCACTGGGAGGTGTCAAGTGAGTGCTTCTTGAGCCTGAGACTAAAATGACCACACACAGCAGCAGCATGTTATGCCTGAGCTGCAGCAGTAGCTCTGTAAGCTTTGAAAAGCTAAACATTTCAATAAGATTAATTTCTTTCTCCCATGTCCATTCAATATTTGCTGAGTGCCAACTATGTTCAGGGACCAATGCCCAAATAGAGGGGGTTTCCTGCAACCCCTGTTCCGTGCTAGGGCATCAAGGATTTGGGGGACATCCTCTACAGACTCTGTGGTAAAACCATTCCATACCCACCCAGGTATGGAGAGGGAATACCCCTGTCTGCTTTTCCACTCCCAGTAATTTTGTTGAGTTCCTGACAGGCCAAGATGTCAGGTACTGTAAATTTGAGGGCCAGACACTACGAGAGAGTAGTGATGCCCACACATGTCTCATTGAATTTTGGTAGAGACACCAGGCTGACTCCTTTTTAAGAATGCTAATGTCAACTGTAAAGGACACATGGACAAAACCAAGGGGGGTGTGAAATCAGGGGAGGGAAGTGGGGATGTCTGGGGTAGGGGGAGTGGTAGGGGGTAAATGCAGACAACTGTACTTGAACAACAATAAAATAATTTTAAAATAAAAGAAGGCTGATGTCAGGTGTGAGAGAAATGGTCTTAGTCGGGGCCCAGTCAGCCTGCATGGGGTGCTGGCCATTGGCCGGTACCTCCAAACCAATACCACGGCTGGTATTTGTGCTGCACATTTGGTAAGCAATTGTGGACTCTTTGAAATATTGCCTTAATGGGACTTGATGTGGGGCTAAGTAGCAAATGATGACGCACTAGGGTCAGCTCTGTGGAAATCAAGCAAAATATTTCAAAAGGTTTTTACTTCAATTTCCCCCCTCAATTCCTTGAGACCAAGAGAATGTGATAGAAAAGATAAGATAATAATCATTCCTGACTGGTGTGGCTTAACTGAGTTGGGTGCTGTTCTGCAAACCCAAGGTTTGCAGATTCAATCCCCAGTTAAGGCACATGCCAAGGTTGTGGGCCAGGTCCTCAGTTGGGGGTGTGAGAGGCAACCAATCAATGTAATCAGTGTTTCCCTCGTACATCGATGCTTCTCTTCCTCTCCTTCTCCCTCCCTTCCCCTGTCTCTAAAAATAAATACATAAAAATATTTTTTAAAAGATAGTAATCAGGAAGCTGTATTCCAAGAGGGAGGGATGAAACCAGATAAGACTGTCAACCACACTGAAAAAATAAAGAGTCTGATAATATAGTACAGCAACTACTACTACTAGTAATAATATGCATTTATCTACTAATGTTTAGAATTGAAAGTGATATTTGTTTTGTTTTGTTTGGACTCAGGGGTTCTGGGTTGAAAAAGATATCAGGTTTTATAGGGAGAGATTGTATTTTATTTTTTTAACTCTTTTATTTTAATATATTTTATTGATTATGCTATTACAGTTGTCCCATTTTTTTCTCCCCTTTATTCCTCTCCACCCTGTACCCCCACTCCCACCAGCATTACCCCCACCTTAGTTCATGTCCGTGGGTCATACATGTAAGCTCTTTGGCTTCTCCATTTCCCATACTGTTCTTAACCTCCCCTGTCTAGTTTGTACCTACCATTTATGCTTCTTGTTCCCTGTACCTTTTCCCCCAATTTTCCCCTCTCCTCATCCCTGCTGATAACACTCCATGTGATCTCTATTTCTGTGATTCTGTTCCTGTTCTAGTTGTTTGCTTAGTTCATTTTTGGGTTTTTTTTAAGGCTTGGTTGTTGATAGCCGTGTTTCTTGTCATTTTACTGTTCATAGTTTTGATCTTTTGTTTTCTTAGATAAGTCCCTCTAACATTTCATATACTAAGGGCTTGGTGATGATGAACTCCTTCAACTTGACCTCATCTGGGAACCACTTGATCTGCCCTTCCATTCTAAATGAAAGCTTTGCTGGATAGAGCAATCTTGGATGTAGGTCTTTGGATTTCATTACTTGGAACACTTCTTTCGAGTTCCTCCTTGCCTGCAAAGTTTCTTTTGAGAAATCAGCTAATAGTCTTATGGGAACACTTTTGTAGGTAACTGTCTCCTTTTCTTTTGCTGCCATAAGATTCCCTCTTTATTAGTATTTGTTTACAAGTAACTGTATTTATTTACACTTCAATTTACTCATAAGAAGTTGTATTTTATTATGAGTAAATTGAAGTGTAAACAAATGCAGCTATTTGTAAACAAATACTTACATAAATACAAATGCACTGTGACTATTGCCCAAATGTTTGGCCCTTGTAGTTCCGTGCTTAAAATAAAGACACTTTAGGGAGTGTGCCCATTTATGAGTTCCATGCTATTTGCTTGCTCCTCGGAACTCTTCTCTGTTCAAAGGAGAGAATTGAGGCTGATGGCAGAAATGCCTGCTCCACTTGTGTGGTGCTTATTTATGGGAGTATATTATGATTATTGTGTGGTTTGTGGATTGACCATGGACTTGTACAAATCCACTTCCCTGTGAAGGGAAGAAAGGAGCTTGCTCCCTCAGCATGGCTTTTCCTAGTATACTTAATTATACATCAAAAACCCAAGTCAGAAATTAGAGCATTTTGATTTTTATCTCTTGCTTTTCAAGGTATGGGGGTAAGAGTTTTGTTTTGTTATCTTTTAATGGCACTCATCCTATGTCAATTTTTGCTAAGTTGGAGCTGGGGGAAGAGGTTTCTAGTCTATGGGCAGAGGCTCCAGTTTGCAGAGAGAATACACTTCAAAGCAGCAGGTAAAAACTCCTTGCCAGGGAGTGAGGACTTCTTGTGCTGATCTCTTATCTCACAGACAGACTCTCACCTGGAAACCATTGCTGAAACCTCAGACACCCTTTTGTTTTTATTTTATTTTATTTTATTTTATTTTATTTTATTTTATTTTATTTTATTTTATTTTATTTTATTTATTTTTTCAATGTATGGTTGCTTCTCATGCATCCCTTGCTGGGAAATGGCCCCTGCTGGGAACTGGCCTGCAACCCAGGCATGTGCCCTGACAGGGAATCGAACCTCCATCTTTTGGTTCCCAGACCCGTGCTCAATCCACTGAGCTACACCAACCAGGGCTGTTTTTATTTTAATAAAGGCACACCAGTTCCTTTAAAGATTGAGAAAGTGACTTCCTCACAGGTCATCCCCCTGTTAAGCTGTGGGAGAGTTCCTCTCATATACTTATTATTCAAAGTACATGCGCAGCCTCCCAAACAGGCAACTGATGTAGGAGGAAATCACCTGTCCATCCAGGAGATCAGATGAAAAAGGACCGTGTATCCCAATTTAAATAGCCTCAGGGAGCCATGCGGTTTCATTAGGTGCTACCCACACACGCCCAGGTTGTGGTGCATACAAGGGGCAGTTGATTGATGTTTCTCTCCCTCTCTCTCTCCCCGCCTTCCCTTTAAAATCAATGAGTGTGTCCTCAAATGAGGAGTAAAAAAAAGGTATTAGAAATAACATATCATATGCTATTAAGCTGCACATCTATGCTAAGCACATTAAAACAATGACTGCTGGGAAAATATTTTTAATTACATACTCAATCCATTTGGTGTATTTCTAAAGATGCAATACCTTTTATTTATCAGTGAAGGAAATGAGACATTAACTTTAAAAAAATCACCAGATGGCCACCCAATTTCCTTGAAAGTCACAGTCACATATATACTGCATCCTGGAAAAGAGGAGGGGCAAGACGGATCCCACCCATTTCATGAGTTTCATCAAATACCAGACCTACTCAAGGGTGGAGAGAAATTGTCACTTTCAAAAAGGAGTATGTTATTACATGAAGCATTTACCATCCTCCCTAATAGCACCAGGTAGGGAATATGTTTTCTAAATTAGATGCAAGAGGTGGAATGTAGAATCACGCCATCCCCCACTCCTTAAGGGCTATCCAGTGGTTAGTGGAGTTTTAAAAATGACTGAATAAAAGCAACCTTCCACCCTCCCACCCCTCCTCCCCCAAAAGGGGAAAAAACTAGGTGTTCCAGATTATTCTCCAAGGTGGAAACTGGAAGCAGTTTTAACAACCCAAGACAGTCTATTACAGAGTTATCACAGGCATGCCTTGCTTTTAAACCAACAAAGAAAATCTTTTTGAAACAACAGAACAAACGCTGATCACTTTTTCTGGCAATACATCATTACTCTAAATTTACTAGTACTGAGAAGGGCAAAAGGGCCATGCCTAGGGGCTTTGTCTCACACGGACATGTGCATAGGTGTAGGGCATTTGTCATTATTGCAAAAATGAACCTTCATTTGTAATCTTTAATTTGATTTAACATCGCTTCTAAAAGCAATGTGATGCCAACACCAGCTGTGCAGGAAGGGTACTGGAGAATGTGTGTAGCAGTACACACCTTCTTCAGTTCTGAAGGCTCCAGAGCAGCCGATATTGCTTAATCAAATATTGTACATTCTTTAGGCCTTTTTGTGTGAGTGCAGAACACTCCACATATGCAACAGCATTTGGGTCATGGACCAGCTTTTTGGAAGTCTCTGGAGTCATAGCCTTCTGTTGTTCTTGGCAAATGGTAAGTTTCTCAATAGTAGAAGGGTCACCTCTGAGATCAGTTTTGGTCCCAAGAGCAAGCTATTACAGTTGTCATGATTTTTCCCCCGTGCCTCCCTCCACCAGCACTGCGCCCCCAGTCCCTCGGGCAATCCCCACACCATTGTTCGCGTCCATGGATCATGTGTATACGTTTTTTGGCTACTGTTTCCTACACTGTACTTTACATCCCCATGGCTATTCTGTAACTACCTTATTTGTACTTCTTAATCCCCTTACCCCTTCACCCATTCCCGCAAACCTCCTCCTATGTGGCAACCATCAAAACCCTCTCCGTATCCATGACTCTGTCTCTGTTCTAGTTTGTTTTTTAGATTTAATTGTTGATAGATTTGTATTTTTGTCATTCTATTGCTCATAGTTTTGATATTCTTCTTTTTCTTAAACAAATTTCTTTAATATTTTATATAATCATGGTTTGGTGATGATGAACTCCTTTAGTTTTTTCTTGTCTGGGAAGTTCTTTATCTGCCCTTTGATTTTAAATGATAGCCTTGCTGGGTAGAGCAATCTTGGCAGTATGCCCCTGCTTTTCATGACTTTGAATATTTCTTGCAAATCCCCTCTAGCCTGCAAAGTTTCTTTCAAGAAATCAGTTGATAGTTCTTATGGGGATGCCCCTGTAGGTAAATAACTTCTTTTCTCTTACTGCTCTTAAGATGCTCTCTTTATCTTTAACCTTTGGCATTTAAGTGATGATGTGTCTTGGAGTAGGCCTCTTTGGATCCATCTTGTTTAGGATTCTGTGCTTCCTGGACTTGTATATCTATTTCCTTTTCCAAATTAGGAAAGTTTTCTTTCATTATTTTTTCAAATAGGTTTCCAATTTCTTGCTCTTTTTTTTCTCCTTCCGGCTACCCAATGATGTGAATGTTGGAACACATGAAGTTGTCCCAGAGGCTGCTTACAGTATCCTTGTGTTTTTGGATTCTTTTTTCTTCTTGTTCTGACTGGTTGCGTTTTTACTTTCTTATGTTCCAAATCATTGATTTGATTCTTGGCTTCATCCACTCTAATATTGTTTCTCTATGAATTGTTCTTTATTACAATGAATATATCCATCATTTCTGACTGACTTTTTTTTTATGCTGTTGAGGTACTCACTAAGTTCCTTGAGCATCCTTATAACCAGTGTTTTGAACTCTGCATCTGATAGATTGCTTATCTCCATTTTGTTTAGTTCTTTTCCTGGAGTTTTGATCTGTCCTTTCATCTGGGACATGTTTCTTTGTTTCCTGATTTTGGCAGCCTCCCTGTGTTTGTTTCTATGTACTAAGTAGAGCTGCTATGACTCTCTGTCCTGGTTGCATGACCCAGTGCAGTACATGTCCTGTAGGGTCTAGTGGCACAGCCTCCCCTATCATCCAAGCTGGGTACTCAAGGTCCACCCTTTGTGTGGGCTGAGTACACCTTCCTCTTGTAGTTGAGCCTTGATTGCTGTTGGCAGGTCAATGGGAGGGACTTGCCCAGGCCAGTCAGGTGCAAGAACTGGTTGTGGCCACTGACCACCAACCTCCACCCTCCGTGGAAGATCAGCTGTGCAAGGGCAGGGTGGTGGTGTTCCAGTGTGGTCTGTAGCCATCCACTGGGTGTGCAGGCTCTGCATTTCCCAGGTGATGCAGGTCAAAGTCAGCTCCTACCTGTATTTTGCTTGGGGCCATCCTGCCTGAGCTATAAAGCAATCTGAGATGGCAGTTACTTGTGCCGGGCTTGGAGATGCCCAGGTAAAGCCAAGCTGTGAATGTAGATTGCCTGCTGCTATTGCTGGGCCTAGGGCCACTTAACAAGGAGTATGGGGGTTGGGGCTCACTAAGATCAGCTGTTGCTTATTTAAGAGGATTTAGAAAGTTGTAAAGCATGAGCCAAGACCAGTCATGCATATGAAAAGGTCACAGTTAACAGTTCAGTGCACCCATAAGTTGGGTGGGACATAGTCTCAGGGGATCTCCAGGGTGGGGCAAACAGTGTTAGCCAGGTTGATGGAGTCTCAGCTGTGGCACTTACCTTTGAGTTCTGTGGCTCTGTTGGGGGAGAGTTCAGAAAAGGGACAATGACCTTTCTGTCTGGAAGAAAGCTGTCCCCCATCTCTTGCCTTGGTGTCAGACACTTTGCTTCCTCCCTGTATGACACTGGTGTTTTTCAAGCTGCTACCCCGGTGCTTGAGCCTGAAGGGAATAAGTCAGAATAGGTGAATCCATGTGTGGGTTCTTTAAGAGGAACTTCTTGGGACTCCAGAAGTTTCTTCCATCAACTGAGTCTCCACTGGACTTTGCATTCAGAGGTTATGGGGACTTATCTTCCAGATACTGGAACATTGGGCTTGGGGGTGGAGAGCTGATGTTGGGCTGGGACTCCTTGCTCCCGAGATCTCTCTCCCAAATTTTAACTACCACACATGGGTGTGGGACCAGCCCATTCTGTGTTTCTGCCTTTTTTACCAGCCCTGGTGGATGTGGTTTCTTTAATTCCATAGTTGTCAGACTTCCATTCAGCTCAATTTCTGATCGTTCTAAGCAATGGTTCTACAATTTAGTTTTAATTTTTATGTGGTTGTGGGAGGACCTAAGCTGTTTACCTATGCCACCATATTGACTGGAAGTCCTCTCTCACATTTTCAGAGGATGGAGAGACACCTGAAAACAGACTAGAAACATATCAGTTTGTGGATAATTCAGTGGTCATAATCCTTCAAAATCCTTTTGCCCTGCAGTATCAAAAATTCCAAGAGTATATGACTTTCCACTAATCATAACTGTGACTACATAGTTGTCAAAATAGTTGGTACATATTCAGATGGAAATTTGTTGTGTAGGCTATCAGGAGCCACATTTTACAAATGTCACCACATCCCAGAACAATGCACTTAATTGTCTGCATTGCTGATACAGTTTTCTATCCACTTTAAATACTTCAGATATGATAACCTCAGCTTCTATGTAGAGATCTTTTTACCTGCTCCCTTTGCCTAATTGAGACACATCCTTTCTCAGTATATAACTTTAGAAGACAGTCTGAAGCTGAAACTCTGAGTTTTCTGGGGAAAAGAGGAAAAAAACCCATACTGCATCCTTATCATTCTCCATTTTGTAATACGTCATTTGAATTTTTAAGAGGATTTGGTTAGCCATTCACTTTTTCCCACATGGTCTCTTTTCTCCCTTTGCCAGGGTTCGTGTGAGCCAGGATGGGCAGTTTCTGCACTACATCTTTCCTTACCAGTTCATGGACTCTCCCGAGTGGGAATCACTGCAGCCCTCTGAGGAGGGCGTGTTCCAGGTAATAGGGAGCCCCATAGCAGTACCATCCTGCTCATCCCACTGTAACCCAGCAATAGCCCCTTTCCCCATCTTTCCCCTGTGACATCTGTCCTTGGAACCATTGCCAATATGATGCTAGGGGTGTGAATGTTCTCCTTCTGTGGAACGAGTTCCTGGGCTCTGGGAAGAGTGAGTTGTGGTAGGACCTAATAGGTGGGCCATGTCCCTCCTATTCCTAAAACTCTTCCAGAAGACTCCAGTGACCACAGTATAAAAACTCACACTTCTGCCTGGACCAGTGTGGCTCAGTTGGTTGGGTGTAATCCTGCCAAGTGAAAGGTTGTGCTTTGATTCCTGGTCAGCGCACATGCTTGGATTATGGGTTTGGTCCAGTTGGGGTGCATGAGAGAGGCAACCAATTGATGTTTCTCTCTTTCTCCCCTCCTTCCTCTCTCTCTAAAAATAAATAAATAAAAATTTTAAAACACACAAACATTTCTTAGAGAGTAATTTAAGACTTTTAGTGGTATCTAGCCATATCTCCAGCCCCTCCCCTCACACTTTTTGTTCATTTCAGCCATACTGAACTAGTAGCACTGCTCTAAACTCAGTACATTGTTTTACCATGGCCGTGTCTTGGCTCCTACTCTTCCTTCCCCGTGATTTCCCCACAATAGACAAGGCTATGGTATTTCACTTCCTCTGGAGCCTGGCCAGATTGACTTCATTAGCCTCCATCTCCACAGCCTATTTTTCTTGCCTGTATGCCTTTCTGTTCCTTGTACTTATGCTGACTGGTACACTTACTGCTCCCTGTTCTAATGGTCTGGTTTCCTTTCTGCCTTCTGCACAGTGAACTCTTCAAGCTAGAAATCTGTGCTTCTCCTTCTATCTCTTTGTTCTAAAGGACAGTACTTTGAGCACATAGGCATTCAATAAAGGTTGGCCTTGCAGTCAGCAGTTAGTGTCTGAGAGGACTTCTTGGGGTATTCACATAACCAGTCCAAAGTGGAGACCTGGCTGCTTGTCCCCTCCTCTCTTCCCTGCTGGTCCTGAGTCTTCAGTTACCTTCTTTGTAGTTCTCACTTACCGAATGGCTAGTATCTGGCAGGCACTACATATTATATTGCCTTATTGATTCTCAGAGCTGTTTTCTGGGTTGGATATTACAGATGAAAAAACTGAGCCTCAAAACATTGCATAATTTGCCCAAGGTCATCTAGAAAATTGGCAAAACCAAGCTGCCTGGCTGTACTATTTCTAATCTTTTTGAAAATGGAAGGGTCATCAGGAGAGTAGGGTTTATACACACACACACACACACACACACTCTCTCTCTCTCTCTCTCTCTCTCTCTCTCTTTTACAGGGACTCCCCTGACCAGAAAATCTGCTAGTACTAGGTCCCATGTGTCTCCTACCACTTCTATCAGGGAATCTCTCAGGCTAGCATATGAGCCAACCCCAGAATAGATACATGCCAGGCAGAACCATCTGGCTGGGCCTGCTTCCATCCCACCCTGACTTGGCTCTGTGAGGAAAGAGCCTGAGAGGCAACCCTGATCCCACTGCAAGGACCACCAGCCTTAGACAACTCCCCCCCCCCATCAGGTTCCTCCCTGCACACACACACACACACACACACACACCCTCTCCAACTCACATAGCAGTCTTTTCTGAAAACCCCCCAGGGCCATAAGAACCTCTGGAGGGCTGAGTCAGATCCTGAGCCAGCAGGACCAGGCTCTGTTTGTGACAGTGACAATGAGGAACAGGTGGTGGGTGAGCTGAATGTCCTTCCCTAAGTTATGCTTGAAAGGAAGGGCTATAACCCCAGATGACTCCTCAGCCTGGAATGTAGTTATCGTCATATTCCTCCAATTAATATTTTTATCATGCACCTCATTTAGGAGCAATGAGATCCACAGGTTTACTGTGTAAAGTCCCATTTCCTCTTTGCAAATGTCAAACATTGTCCTGAGTTATAGTTCATCCTGTCCTTGTCTTTTGCAATCATAGTCTTTGTTGACCAAGCCATGGTGACTCCCTGAATCATAACTCTTACTGTGCTTACCACAAGTGAATCAACGTTTTTTCACACTTCTCGGTTTTTACTGGACCCAAGCCCTCTTTACATATGTTATCTCATTTAATTCATTCAACCAAACTCTGAGGTGAGAATTAAAGAAAAATCTTGTCAAACTTATAGACATAACTTGATGAACAGGTTTTCTGGAGACCTTTGGGGAAGGATTGTATATTGGACATGAGAAAGTGACATTAGGTTGTTCAGCAACATGCAAGATGGGTAGTCTTCACCTGATTCACCTGTTCACTTCAGTAATATGTGTACTTCTCATATATCAGGCAGTGTTAGAGGTGCTCAGAATACATCAGGGAACAGAACACATGACAGTCCCTCGCCTTCATGCAATTTATATTTTAGTAGGAGAAAAAAAAGCCATAATAAGGAATAAGTAAATTATCTAATTTGTTAAAATCATAACTTCTATTTTTTAAAAATAGAGTAGTATAAAGGAGACATTGTTGCATTTTTAAATAGGGTTATGGAAATCTTTGTTGAGCAGGTGACATCTGAGCAAAGACTTGAAGAAGGTGACAGTGCGGGCTCTGTGAATATCTGGAGGAAGAGCATATCAGAAAGAGAGAAGAGCCAGTGCAAAGGCCCCTCGGTGGGAGGGGCTGGTCTGTTTGAGGAATAGAGAGGAGGCCTGTGCTATTGGGACCGAGAGAGGGCGGGGAGAAGATAGCAGGAGAGGAAGTCAGAGGGGTGATGAGAAGCTAGGGCATATATTTTCTAGATAGAGTCGAAAGGATTTGCTAACACATTGTATGTAGTGTGTGGAGAAAGAAGAGCAAGGAACACTATTAAGGTTTTTGGCCTGAGCAACCAGAAGGAGGAAGCTGTGACCCACTGAGATAAGGGAAATTGTGGGTAGAGTTGATTTGGGGGAAAGAAGGGAAGTTCAATTTGGGATATATTAGATTTGTGTCATCTACGGATGTTTAAAGAGAGATGCTGCACAGGCAGATGGATATTTGAGTCCAGAATTAAGGAATGACACCTGAGGTTGAGACATCAGTTTGAGAGTTGGCATACAAACGATATCTAAAACTGTTAGGTTGGATGAGATCACCAAGCGAGTGAATTCAGAAAGAGGCAGGGTTCAAGAACCAAGTCCTAGGATATTCTAGTGTTTAGAAGTTGGAGAGAAAAAAAGGGAAGCAGCAAAGGAAGCTAAACGGAGCTACCAGAAGGTTGTATCAGGAGAATGTGGCATACTGGGAACCCAGTAAGGAAAGGGTATCAAAGAGGAGGCAGTGACCAACAGGGTCAAGCACCATGAAAACTGACTGCTGCAACTTAGAGGACATTGGTGACCTTCCCAGGAACGGTGCTGGGGAGGCTAGGGGCCACTGTGACTGGTTTAACAGGGGAAGGGGAGAACGACTGGAGTCAGCAAGTATTGCTAATGTTTTCTATGGAGTTTTGCTGAAAAGGAGAACAAATTAATGGAGCAATAGCTCCCCAAAGAAGTGAGGCGAGGAAAAAGGATTTTCATTTTTAGAATTTTGCTTTATTTTAAAATGGAAGAAGTAACAGCATGTTCATAAGCATGGCTGTTGTCTTTGTGTTTGACTCTGAGGACTTTGGTTACATCCCGATTAGCTCTTACACTCAGCTTCACCTTCAGTGCTCTGATTTCCTGTTTGGGAATTGTTAGTAAGCGCATCTGAAGTACAGGCTGTGCCAGAGTGACCACTACTTGCTGAACAGATAGTAATTAATGGATTGTCAGTACTTACTATGCTCAGAATTCTTACTCATGAAGCAACATGCTCAGAAAGAGTAATTTCTCTGATGTCGCGGAGCTGGTCAATGGGTAAAACTGGAACATTACACTAGTTTCTGACCTTCTGATGCGGTAATTTAAGGCCCTATCTTCAGTGGTGATGATTTTGGAGAAATGAGTAAAGAAAATGGAGGAGGGCCACTGCAGTGGGGAAGGGAGAGGAGTGGAGGTTAATGGGAGATCCAGTAGGTAAGGCAGAAACTATAAGGATTGTATAAAATCTCTAAGAAAGAATGTAAAGTCGACCCTGCCTTTAATTAAGTAATGCACATATAGAACTTAACAAATGCCTGGCAATTGAGTCACCTCTCCTTAAATATTAGCTGCTGTCATCACCATCATTTTCACTGTTTCCATTCACAAATGTTCATCATGAACTCTTCCATCCTTCTCACTGTTAAAGTATTTTGGCCGCCCAGATTAATAAAAATTGTGTGATTTTACACTGTTGTTATTCACTATCAGAAGCATGTTTTCATTTTAACCCTGGCTTTAGCACTCATTGATGTTTTAACAAGGATTTACCACGTACCTTCGTCATGCTGGGCACGCATCATTTACCTTGCAAATGTGATTTAGCTTTGCATCCTGGGCACATAGTGAGTGCGCAGAAGTTCCCAGATGACTAAATCAATGTGTTCGGTGGGGTGCCCTCTGACTTCGTGCCCTGAAGATTTTCTCTTCCTGTGTGCCCTTTTTCTGACTTGAGTCATCAGATCTGTCTGGTTACTTATAGTGGCCAAGCCAAGAGCAATTTCATGGCCCTGAATCCCAGGCTAAGTTCTGTCCACTTGCTGCAGCTCGGCATTCCTGATACCCAGGGAAGCTCTTCTCTAACTAAAATATTTTCCAACTCCTTTCGCATCCCTACTCCAACACATTCTTCTTTTTTATTAAAGCAAGTTGTCATCGCCATTCTGACCTTTCTTCAGAGCATCAGAAGGCCCCTTCTTTCCCTTGAAATCTCAACAGACTCAGACCCTTCTGCAGCCATTAGTGATATCAGTCATTGGGACCGTAGACTATGAGAGCTGAGGAGACGAGATGTAGAAACTGAGGCTCCAGGAGATGAGGCCCCAGTCAGTGAATGGCTGATCCCAGGGCTCCTGACAAGGGCATGTGCCCCCACCCCCAATCAGTGCACGCAAGTGAAAGTTAGTCGCTGGACCTCCTCCAGGCAAGGCCATGGCGGGAGGGATGTTCCCACAGCTTCTTCAGTAAAAGTGCAATCGTTTCCCAAGTAACTATGTTTCTCTCTGCCAAACATGGACACATATTCTAGTTTAAACCTTCACTCTGCTCCTGACCCCTCTCAGGTCACTCTGACTGCTGAGACTGCATGCAGCTACATTTCCTGGCCCCGGAAAAGTCTCCACCTTCTTCTAGCTAAAGAGCGATACATTTCCCGCCTCTTCTCAACACTGCTTGGCTATGACATCTCAGAAAAGCTCTACGCTCTCAATGAGAAGCTCTTCGCTAAGTTTGGGCTGTGCTTTGACATCCGTCTCCCCAGCCTCTACCACGTTCTTGGTTCTGCTGCTTCAGATGCAGGGCCGGAGTCGCAGAAAGAGGATGAGGAAGTCCATGAGCGAGCTGCATCCCCTCCTCGGGCCACGCCCACATCTGTCCAGCAAGTACCCCCTTGCTCTCCTCTTCCAGTTGCCACCGACCCTCACGCACAGCCTTCCCGGGCCAGGATGTCTCGGCCTGACAGCGGTGTCCTGGGTGAGGACTCCACCAGTCTGGTGCTGGAGGATTTTGAGGAGATGTCAGGATCAGAATCGGTCATGGATTATAGGAGTGATGGGGAGTACATGAGGTGAGGGGAGAACTAACACGGGCACAACCACCGGCTCAGGATTCTGTGTAAGTACTCAGAAGGCAGCAGCCACACTTTCTTGCCTACAAGTGGCCTTAACTCAGCTTGTAAGAGCAAAAAAAGCATTCAGTGAAGGTTGTCCTCTCAGAGAATGCCTAGAAAGTGCCATTAACCCAACCTTACCGATAGCCACTCACTGAAGGTGCATGCAATGCATGAGGGGATTCTTTAACTCATTCCTTATTAAATGTGATTGCATTTTGGAAAGTGGGCTGGTTGACATTTTGAGCAAGCAGTTAGGTTGCTAAATTTTTTGCAAAACTGTGCTGATAGCTAAAGGGGATTTTATTTGTGGCATGCATTGTGTGTGTGTGTGTGTGTGTGTGTGTGTGTGTGTGTGTGTGTGTGTGATACATTTTAAAGGGGGCATGGTTTTAATTCTCACTGGTTCTTCCTGGCATAGAGTCAGCTCTGGGATGCAGTCATTATGTAGCCTAGATTGCAGTTATCTGTTAAAATCACATATTCTAAAGAGACTTGTGATATAAGCTCATAATCCTGGGAGGAAAATAACCCTGCCTTGCTCTCCTCTCTCCCAGTGGAAAGTGTACTGATAGCTCAGGCAGAGGACTGGATGCTGCTCTGACTGAATGTGACTGTGATCAGATGTATATAGTGCAGCCTGGTTTTCCCCACAAGCCACCCCTGTGCGAGGTGGGGTGGGCCCGGATCTCGGGGGACTAGTGGTATGTGCAGGATTTCCCTCCTGGGTCCGAGAAGTAGACAAGAAAGCCCGTACTAAGTAATTCAGGGAAACTGCTTTCATGTCCCCTTTGCTGCTCTCACAGGCCATGGCATTTTCCTCGGGGACTCCACACAACCACAGTGAAGGCTTGGCTTTTTCTGAGGAAAACACCACATTTTTTTTTTTATTTGGAAGGCATTTCCAAGGAAAGGAGTCAGGCCCTAAGAAACTCATCATTTTTGGGAAGCACTGACAACTTTCCTGAGGAACTAGCCCAGTGAGGAAGTTTTCCAGGTACACAAGGTGAATGAGTGAATGTTTGTAAATTTTGAAAAGGAAGTTATATAACTGATAAAAGAGGCAAGAGAGGTGAATGTTAAGAGGTTAGATATTTGGTTTTATAGATTTGGAATGTGTCATGTCCTGTGGTACCGGTGTCCCTAGAACCATAATTGAGCTAATTCAAAGGTCATTCCAAGGATCTTTCTAGCACCTGAGATCACTTTGTTGACATCCTCCATTTGCACTGTCCACTCTCCTGACTCCTTTTTCATTGTGCTGATATCCACCTCCCTACTTACCTACACCCATCCAGGTATAGGATCATGTCCTTCAGATCCCTCTCTGTCTCCAGCTCACCCACCCACCTGTACCTGCTCTGAACTCAGCAGCTCTCTGTGTCCTCATGCTCTTCTTGCCTTCCTTCTTTTCCTAGTTCTGTCCATTCTTTTATTTCTTCTTCCTTAATTCTGCTCAGTCTTTGGTTGCCTCAATTTGCTGCTCTGAAGAAGAGAAACAACCTTCCCTTCTTAGTTCATTTCTCCTCTTCATATTTGTCCTCTCCATCTTCTCCACCTTATTATTTATGTATTTATCTTCCCATTACCTTCTTTTCCTTTCCTCCACTTTGCTGCCTTGCTCTATCTATTCTTCTTCCTAAACAACTCTGTGCCCTCAACTTAATTTTTTATCCCGACTCTTCCAAGATCAGTACTTCTCCCTCTGCCTGTAAAGAAAACTACTCAAGTGAATGTGTGAAAAATTCCAACTTTAGACGGCTGCACATTTCATGCATGAGTTTTCCCAAATATTTGGAGGCAGGCAGCATGGTAAATGGAAGGAGACCTAGAATGGGAGACCAGGCTTCTATGTCTGGCTCTGCTACTTTTTGCAAACCACACAACCTCACTGAAACTTACTATCTTAATTTGGCTGGTTGACCCCCGAAATCCCTCTTATTTATGAGAAAAAGCAAAGGATAAATTATCCAGAGGAGGAAATGGGAAGCAGTCAGTCAGTCAGCAGTATAGTGGACACAAGCCCTGGGGCACAGGGGTGTCTTTCAGCAAGAACTCTGCTGTACTGCAGTTTCTCTTGTGGGTTACATCTGTCTTCCTCCCTGCTGGGTGGTGGGTCAAAGTTCCCTCCATTCTTCACCTGCGCAGAGTCTGTATCACTTACGATGTGATGACAGAGCAGATGTTCTACATGAAAGGAGGCCACAGCTCAGTCTCCAGGGTCCTTCACCTTTAATACTCTCATACGAAGTTCCTCTTTCCAAATTCAGCCACTTCTGAAGTTCAAGATAAAAAAAATTGCCAGTATAACTCACTTTATAAAGTACTGGTATTTGCGATATAAAGAGAGTAGTGTTTGTTTAAGGAACATTTAGTGTTTTTTTAAGGAATAGAAGGGAAAAATATTGTTTCCTTCCAAACTACAGATTTTTCAGAACAACCTTCAAACATGATCATATTGTCCAAATTTCAGATGCCTTTTCAGTTTAGCCTGTGATGATGAGATGGTTTAAACCAGAGATCCCTTTCTAGAATTGTACTGTTGAATGTTTGGTTTGACTTATTTGCCATTAAACTCCTTCTAGGGTTATTATTGTAACAAATAGGCGCAGTCTAATAAATTGGTAGCAACTTACTATCATTTTCTTGATAGAGTAGGGCACAATTCACCAGTTATTCCCTGGCCGTTCCTCACCAAAACTGTAAGCTCACTGCTATTCATCCCAGCACAGCACTTACATAGGAGACAGGAAGCTAGGAAGCTGGCTGAGTGCTACGTGGTTGAGAGACACAGCGTCGTCACACTGACACCAGTGCTTGTCCCTCACACAGATCCAATTTAACACCAACTAAAAATAGTCAGCATTGCCACTGGAGCTGTTTTTTGAAGAGAGTCCATTTTCAGTCTTGAGGTTCCCAGAATTGAACCACAAGTGGGTGCTACTTCTTTAGCAGGCAAAGCAGTGCTGCTGGCTAGTGTATCCATGCAGAGCTCACAGTGAGACCCCACATTAACCCGGCCTTTGCTAGAATCTTCCTATTTAATTCCATGGCCACTTTCCACAGCGTTCCTCTCAGTGTCTTACCTACAGGAGATGCTCAGTGAATACGTCTGTGAGTCCATTATCACAAATTAATTGAAAGCTGTCTGAAATTTGGCCAATTTTGATTATGTGTTCAAGTTGTTCTGAACACTCTATGGTTGGAAAGTAAAAACTATATATTGTTTTCTTTTTCTCTATTATTTAAATAAACAAATGAGAAACAGATCACAATATGGAGACTGATTTTGGTCAGGGAGAGAAACCGGGACCAAGACAGAGTTGCAAGGGCCAGAGAACTAATTCAACAAACATACCTTGACTTGGTGTCATTCTTGAGGATAAAAATGCATTAAAGGCTGAAAGCTACAAGGAGAAATATTTCAGCTCACTATTAATGATGGATCACCTCATGGAGAAGTGAGTTACTTGTCACTGATAAAGTGCAAACAGACACACAAAGAAATCATGTCAGAAATCTTGAAAGGTGATCAGGCTCTGAGAGAAGGGTACCTCAGGCTATTGCTATTAAGAAGACTATTGCCTTCTAACTCTGTAATGACATGATTCTGTGGTTCTGAGATGTGACTCAGGTCCTGTCACTCAGCCACCACCAAAGGCAGTTCCTCCTCTGCCAAAGAGGACCAACTGTCTAATAGATCATTAATGTCTACTGCTCGGTAAACAGGTAGCCTGTGTCTACCTTACCAGGTTGCTATGTGAGGAATAATTGAAATAAAATATATAAAGGCAGTTTGTAAGTTGTAAAGTATTAATTTAATGTATAAGGTATTTATATATGAGTACAACTATTTGGCAATCTCTCTCTCTCCCTCTCTCTCTTTGTCAGAATTTCATAATCTCCCCATTTTATTTCCCTGAGTCTGGCTTTTCAGGGAAGGTGGCAGTGGGTAGAATCCCCTGACAACAAAAGGAGCAGCAAAAAGGTGGAGGCCCAAAGAAAACCCACACTAGCTCCTCGGCCCCTAAGTAACGTAAGGGGTGGCTGGAACAGCATCTGTTTTTCTCATTTGCTCAGGAGGACACAGATAGCCACCACACTGTATTCAGGCTCTCTCCCTCTGGAGTGGCTACAAGGTACTTTGGTAGCTGTCAGTGTTGTTAAACAGCACTCTACTCATGGAAGCTATAAAGATGCCTGGACAGAAAACTTGCCCTTGAAGTAACAGGACAGGTGATACCCAGGGGTCTCACATTCTGGGTCTCTAGGTGGTAGCACTGGTCCACCTGCCAAGGCTCCACATTCAGCCAGGTAAGTGAGAGGCAGCGGTTCCCGCCCAGCCTGCTTATTCTCAGGTTCTTCTTGCACTTATGTCTTACAGCACTCATGGACCTACTTACCCCTCTTCCCGCAAAAATAAAAGTCAGAGGTCTTATAAAGCTCATCATTTTTCTCTACAGAGTTTTTAAAAACTTAGGAGTGTTAGGAAGCAGAGTTCTACAGCTTCTTCATAGGTGGCAACAGAAGTTGATCTCTTGGCCTCTTTGCTTATAAATTGAGAAAATTGAACTATATAACTTCAAAGCTGACTCATCCTAATATTGTCAAATGAAATGATTCACAGATACAACTACCCCTGTCATTGTAGGTATCAGTTAAAGCTGAAGCATTGGGAATTTGTAGTGGTAAAAAGAAAATAAAACAGAACAAAGTAAAAGAACCCTGTGAGGTTAGGCAAGCTATTGGGAGCCATGGTTCTGAAATCCTCTCTCTTTTTCTTTCCACAGCTTCTAGAATTCCTCTCCAGAGCTACTCTCAAGTTATGTCCACAGGACAGGCCCCCTTGGCTCCAATCCACACTCCTGAACTTTAAGGATCCATGAACCATCTTTTGGGCCACATTCAGCATCACAGGAAGGTCCTTGTATGCGCACCCCTCTTCCCCCCTCCAGAAGGCTCACGGGCAGGTCAGAGCAGACACAGAAGGTGCCAGCACTGCAGCTACTCACAGGGCCCTGGGTGACAGAAACTCACCTCCACCAGATTTCCTTCCAGGTGAAGGCATCTGAGAGGGCAAGAAGCACAGGTTCCATCCTTTACTACTTGGCCAAGTTACATAGCCTCATGGGCCTCATCTGCAAAGTGGGGATTACGAAATCCACCTCACAAGGTTGTCATGAGGATTACACGAGTTGATTTGGGTAAAACACCTAGCATGTGGCACCTAGTAAGCACTCAATAAATCATTCAGTTCCTTTCCGTGTTGTTTCTTTTCAGTTTCTGGATGGATCAGTGATTCAGTTTGTGGAAGTAGAAATTTTAAAACCTAGTTTTCCCTTAAGCCTTTTAAGTTCAGCTTACAAATCTCTTGTTCTATGTATGACCCTAGTATTAAACAATAAGATTTTAAAAGGGATTTGTACAAATTTAGTTAAGTCTCCTTGAACATTTTCAAGTGGATTTATAAATTTAACATATCCTGTTTTATTTCTCCCTTAAATACTTCAACCTATATTCCAGTTACCCATTGCTCTGTACATTTACCCCTAAAACAACGACTGAAAATAACCACAATGATTTAATTTGCTCCTGAATGTGGGGCTTGACTGGACCCAGCTGAGCTATCCCCACTCAAGGTGTGTCATGCTGCTGCATTCAGATAGTGGCTGGGGCTAGAATCATCTCAAAGGCTTCTTCATGTACGTGTTTGGGGCTTAGTCTGGGAAGACTCAAACAGCTGGAACAGCTGGGGATCCCTGGGTAACTCTCTCTCAACTGTCTGTCCACTTTTGTTGCTATGTAGTACTGTGTTGTTGAATATACCTCAACTTATCCATTCTACTACTGATGAGCTTTGGGTAGTTTCTAGCTTGGAACAATGAGTTTATAAAGTAATAACACACACTGTTATAAACATTCTTGACTATATCTATATCTTTTAGTACATTTCTTAGATATATACCTAGGACTAGAATGACTAAGGCATATGTCCCACTATAGTAAATATTGCCAAACAGTACTCCTAAGTGATTATACCAGTTAATATCCTCACTAGCAGTGTATGAGTCCTAGTTGTTTCTTACCCTCCCCAATAGCTGGCATTTTCATTTTTTCAAAAAAAATTTAGCCATTTGTGTGTATGTAACAGCATAGCATGTGGTTTTGTTTCCCTGATGAATAACGAGGTTGAGTGCCTTTTTGTGTTTTTCTTAATTCATATACATATTCTCTATTGTGAAGTCTCTATTCTAGTTCATGTCCATTTCTCTATTTGTGTGTATGCTTTGGCTTATTGACTTAAAGGAATTCTTTAACTATTCAAGTTAAAAGTTCTTCATTGTTTATATATTCAAATGTATTTGACTCCTCTAAGGATTAATCTTTTCCCAGAAGACTCCTCAGTCCCCTGGGTAAATTGATTTATTGTGGCCCATAAATAATTTAAGGTAAATCTGGATCCTTGACACATATACAAATGAGCACTAGGTTAGTCCATCATGGAAAACACTACATGAATATCTGAAACCAATATATGACCTACAAACATTCAGCAGAAGATGTCACTTCCCATTTCTGGGATCAAAAAGGGTTCATGGAGAAGTTGACTTTGAGCTGTGCCTTAAAATACAGAGTTAGGCAAAGCAGAAGCAATTTAGAGGAAAGAAAAACCATAAGTCCGAGTCCCAGAAGGAACAAAGAAGGCACTCCTGGAGAAGAAGAGAACTGATGGCTTTCAGTGACTAGCTGTGGAATCTGAGCTCTGATCCCAAGGCAACGGGAAGTTATCAGGAAGAGGATGCACCCAAAGCAGTGCTGAGGGAGATATGCGAACAGTGCATACCATGGAGTCTAGCAGAGGGCAGCTGTTTCATGAACATTCATGTTCTGAAGGGCTTGAATAGAGAGAACCAAGCCAGGAAAACAGTTGAGACCATTGAAACGGTCCATGGGGTTTTGAAATACCAAAGGCCAGAACCTATGATGGCAATGGGAACACAGAGGCCGACACCTAGGAAAGACCCTGGGGAGGGTTACCTGGGAAGGGAGTCTCAGAGGTCCGTACCTTCTTCCCTTTACATTCTTGACACCCTGGTTTCCTGTGGACAACCCCACAACTTTTTTTATATTGGTTTTATAGAGGGATAGGAAGGGAGAGGGAGGGAAACATGGACTTGTTGTTCTACTTATTTATGCATGTATCGGTTAATTCTTCTATGTGCCCTGACCAGAGACCAAACCTGCAAACTTGGCACATAGAGATGATGCTCTAACCAAGTGAGCTACCTGGCCAGGCCCCCCACAAATCTTGATAACTGAAGAAATGTGAGCAGTGCTTGCAACAGTTTCACTTCTACTTGGCATTGAATTTATACGCTGATGTATCCGTTGCTCAGAAATTTCCCTGGAGATCATGAGATTTTATTTTACTTTTAGTTCACTTCTCTGACGTGATCCTTCCCAAGAGTCCTTTTTGGCATGGCACATGATTTCCAGTTGTCAGCTGCCAACTGATGGATGCTTGAGAGCCTGGAATTGCCCTGTACTTTTTTTTAATTGCTTTTTTAGAGGTGGGGATCAGGAGGAGAGAGAGAGAGACATAGATTTGTTATTCCACTTATTTCTGCATTCATTGGTTGACTCTTGTATGTGCCCTGACCAGATTGAACTGCAACCTTGGTATATCAGGCTGACGCTCCAACCAACTAAGCTACCTGGCCAGGGCCTGCCCTCTACTTCCTGGCCCTCCTCCCTGAATCCTACTCCTCCCTCAAGGCCCCTACAAATGCCCCCTCCCTTCCTACACTCTTCCTGCCATTCACTCTATGCCTGTCTGAATTAACCTGTCCCCTTTAGAGCCCTCTGGGACCACCTCCCTGGCTGTCATCACCCTCTTTAGACATCCTCTCTAAGCACTTGATGGCTGGACAGATTCTTACTTGTTGATGTGATCTCAGCACCTAGACAGTGCCACATGTCACTTGAAAGTTGAAAAAACATCTAGTTTCGCTTTCCAGTTTTCTTTGCTTCTGCCCCCCTATGCAAACCAGAATACCTACTCTTTGACTCTCGCATTATTGAGGAAGGAGGTTCTTCCTGTCTGGTTTCCAAGCCCTGCTGAAGAGCTCAGAGCTGATGTTCCCCCAACCCCAACTCTTGCCCACAGGCAGCTCTGCCTTCTCACCCTGCTCCTCCCTGATGTGTCTGAGAGGAAAACACTGGTGACTCCACCTTTCTCCAATTTCCTCTCTTTACTCTAATTTTTTTTCTTGTAATTTGATTCTTTGTTACTCACTACATATCTTCTATTTTTCTTCTTTCTCCTCCAATAGTTCCTAAATTATTTTAACATCTATATTATCTTCATCACAAATATAAACATTTTTAAAACCCTCACATTTACACTGTTATTATATCTAACCCAGTAACCCCACCTCAATGCGAAGGTTTGAGAAGTTTTTTTTTTTTTTTCCCCTGGGTACATGGCTGTGTGATTCCAGCTTCTGGCCTGAGATCCAGAGAGGGGTCATGGAAATCCTCTCTTTTTCCTTCAGTGGTCAGATATACTTCTGTGTTTCCAGTTCCCCCACTGTAATTATTCTTTCTCTCTCTCTTTTTTTTTTTTGCTGGTTCTAATATCTTTTCTTTCTTTTTTATTGTTGTTCAAGTACAGTTTTCTCCCCTCCCCACCACCCCAGCCCTTCCCACCTCCCTGCCCTATCTTCACCCTCCCCCTTGTTATTATCCATGTGTCCTTTAACATTGTTCCGGCAAACCCTTCACTCTTTTCCCTTGTAATCCCCTCCCCTCTCTCCTCTGGTGACTGTCAGCCTGTTCTCAATTTCAGTATCTTTGGTTATATTTTGCTTGCTTGTTCATTTTGTTGATTAGCTTCATGTTAAAGGTGGGATCATATGGTATTTGTCTTTCACCACCTGGCTTATTTCACTTAGCATAATACTTTTCAGTTTCATCCATGCTGTCGCAAAGGGTAGGAGCTCCTTCCTTCTTTTTGCTGCATAGAATTCCATTGTGTATATGTACCATAGTTTTTTTTATCTATTCATTTACTGATGGGCACTTAGGTTGCCACTGTAATTATTTCTTTAGAGCAGTGATTCTGAGCCCTGGCTGCATCCTAAAGTAAACTGGGAAATTAAAAAAAATACTAATGCCATAGATAAAACAAGACAGCCATGAGAACTGATAATTATTGAAGTTGGAGGATGGGTACATGGAGATTCACTATGTCATCTTTCCAATTTTGTACGCATTTAAACTGTTCCATAATAAAAAGGTTAAAAAGAAAATATATAAAATATACTCTTTATATCTTTATATAAATATTTATATATATTACTTATATCTTATTTTATATATAGTAATGAAACAGGGCCCATAGCAAAGCAGTTAAAACTGAATTTCTGGGGCCCTGGCCTTAGAATCTGTAGTTGTAAAAGCAGGTTTGCTTTAAGTAGTTACCTTTTATGGACAAGAAAGGAGAGGAAATTGCTAATTACTACAAAGAAAAAGGATATTTGCAAATGCAAAGGAAAAAGTGGTTGAACCGGTTACACTCCATCCTTGGGAGGTTTAGCATAGATTTTAGGAAGTTACTTTAAAGATATGCACTAAACATTTGCTACCTCAATTCAGGGTGAGGGAGTTTTAGCAAAAAGCAAGCCTCATAATAGCCTAGGTACAATGCAGGCCTGATTCCCCACGGGAAAACTGATTTGTGAGCTCAGGTCCTGTGTGCCAACTTGCTCCCTACCAGTTTTCCGAGTCAGGGGCGGGGCTACATTCACCATGCCACTCAGATAGGTTCCCTATATGGTTTGATGACTAATGTACAAGCACTGTTTAAAGGACATAATAATAATAATTATAGTAAATCAACATAGTGGTATCTAAGAGTTTCTTTCATGAAACAATAAGAGAGAAATCAAGTAAGTAAGAGAAGGATCTAGCCACAGAAGTTCTTGAATTCTAGGTTAAGAAGTTAAGAAAATCTCTTATTCTAAGGACATCAGGAGAACCTGGTGAAAATTTCAGAATAAGAAAATCTTATATTAAAGAGTTTCTAGAAAGAATTATCTGGCACAGATCAACAGAGTGAACTAATGTGGAAAGAAGATGGAAAAAAGACACCAGTTCAAAGTTTTCAGCCAAATCCAAGGCCTTATTATGTGTCCAAGGCAACAGACAGTAAAAGAAAGATATCAGACACATTTTGAAGAAATCGAGACACAGCATCTAAG